AACCGATAAACAAATTCAGTAAAGTTGCAAGGTACATAATCCATCACTCTTTTAAATTAAAATTAATGTAAAATAATGCATTTTTCGTCAACAGCAAAGTAAGCTCATGCATCAGGCTGGTGATGTCAACACGATGCATTCATCATCACGTGTTGTCAGTATTGATAGATTATGTGATTACACTAATAATCAGAAACATTTTCAAGGCAGCTAGGAATTTGGGATGAAGCATGCTGCCAGACAAGAGGCATTAAATTTAAGGCAAGAATTTGGAAAATCCAAAACTGTCAAAATACTGCAATAATGTTGTGACAGATGAAAAATGTCTTTGGACAGAGCCGTGGGAATGTCACCTTTCATCCTTCCTCTCTTGGGCTTTCCTGGAGTAGTCAAGGCCCCTGGGGAGGGCAGAAGTACAATGGCCACAGACAGCCTTTGTCACAGAATCCTCCCAGCACTCTGCTCAGGGATCCCAGTCTGTGGTCCCAGGAGAGAATCAGCAGAGGATAAGGAACAGCAGCGAGTAAGAAGAGTCAGACGTGGGGGCCACAGTGAGAAGTTTGGATTTTTTGGACTTTATAAAAGAGTTCAAATGGCCAATAATCATATAAAAATGTGCTCAGCATCTATAGTCATTGGAGAAATGCACATTTAAACCATAATGAGGTGATATTACAATCCCTTGAGAAGAGCTAAAGACGGGAAAGACTGACAATATTGTTGAGGATGTGGAGCAACTAGAATTCTCATATATTGTTGGTCGGAATGGAAAATGGTGCAATTGCAAAAGTGTTTGGCACTTCCTTACAATATTAAATATAAACCTACCCTTCAACCAGCAGTTGCATTCCTGGGGGTTTACAAAAGAGAAATGGAAACACATATCCACAAAAAGACTTGTGCATGAATGCTTGTATCAACTTGATTCATAATAACCCCAAGCTGGAAACAACCCAAACGTCCCGCAGTCAGAGAATGGACAAATTGTGGAATACTCACAGATGGAAACCACTCAGCCATAAAAAAGAATGAACTACGGATACAGAAAACCACACGAATGCCTTATCTGCCTGGAAGAAGACAGACATGAAAGAGTACATACCGTATGATTCCATTTATGGAAGTTCAAGAACAAGCAAAGCTAGTGAATGTTGATGCAAAGAGAAGACTGGTTGCCTGTGGGGGCAGGGACTCTGACAAGGAGCAAGAGGGCACTTTCTGCGGGGCACGGGAACGTTCCATGATCTTAATTGGTGTGATGGTTACATAGGTAGACAATGGACCAGAACTCATGCATTTATGCTCTGTGCATTTCACTGTATATAAATTTTACCTTAATAATAAATATTAGATCACCATGCCTGATGTTTGGGGCAGAGTGGAACAGGAGGCCAGCTGGGAGGTTGTTACAATAGTCCAGGTGCAAGATGATGGTGGGAGATGTTAGAAGTGGCTAGAATTGGGGTCTCATTTTTTTTCATGTTTTTTTTTTTTTTTTTTTTTTTTTTTTGTGGTACGGGGGCCTCTCACTGTTGTGGCCTCTCCTGTTGTGGAGTACAGGCTCCGGACGTGCAGGCTCAGCGGCCATGGCTCACGGGCCCAGCCGCTCCACGGCATGTGGGATCTTCCCGGACCGGGGCACGAACCCATATCCCCTGCATCGGCAGGAGGACTCTCAACCACTGCGTCACCAGGGAAGCCCTGGGATCTCTTTTGGAGGGAGGGTCAGGACTGGATAGCCCAGTAAGCAACAATCTTGTTTAGAGCAGGCCCCAGATGACTGAATCCTTGAAAATTTATTTATTCTATTTGTATATTTTACTCTGATTCCTTCTCTTTCTAAAATAATTTAAGGCTTATTGTAAAAAAGGACACGTATTCAGTAAGACTGAGACGATGTAACTAAAATAGGGAAATTGAAACTAGAAGACAGAAGAAGCAAATATGCCAGTTTGGGGACTGATGTTAGAAAACTAAGATCAGGAACCTGTTTTTGCCTGGTCCTCTTGGTAGGGCTCCTAATGGGGCCCACTGATGGGTTATGAAGGGGACAGCAAGGGTCTTTAATATCAGAGGGAAGACAGCTCAGAATACAGATACCCAAGCAGTGTTGAATCAAGTTGATTTTAGTTGAAGAAGAAAATTTGTCTTTTAGAGACTCTGGGCTTATAAAACCGAAAATACACATTTTTGTAAAATCTGATTTGTAACAGAATATTACATCGTGAAGGTCTGATACGTCAAGTGCTCTACAAAGAAATGGGGTTTATTTTGGGGAAAACTACCTTCCTTCTGTTTGACACTGAATTTATTAAGCAAAAATGTAAATAGCATGGGGGTATTATTTAGGATAAAATACAAGTTTGAGTATATTCTCCATACATTTATGGAATCATTATCATTAAAAATTACTATAAACTAACAGTCTGATATGGGAATTGAGTTTGGGTTGAATGTATTAAATCTAAATGAAGGCAGCTATTGATACAGTAGAAATACTGCAAAAATGTTTGTGAAAAGTGCATTAATTATTGATTGATCATTATCAGTATGGGCAGTTCAGTATGCTGCCAATTGAATGTGAGGGGAACCTTGTCAATATCAGACATTCTTTAAGAACAATTAGTGGATCGGAAATGAAAGAAGAACTGAAGAGAGAATTTACGTGTGGAAAAGATATTCAAAAAGATATGCTAGTAAGGAAATCCATCAGATCAAGCCTCATCTTAATTCTGGAACTTTTGCTCGATGTCTTGAGATGGACCAGCCCAAATGAATGCTTAAATCAACATCACAGCATTAATGGCAAACTCCTACGGCATTGCCCATTGGATCTAATAGCAAAGATCGCGGTCCTGTGCAGAGACTCGGGAAGGAAAAGGACTGTCACGAACAATTTATAATGCTCCAGGACGGCTGCATTTGGGATTGCTTCTTTAGCAGATGTGACTGCAATTTATTTCAAACCGGTGAGTAAACATGACCACAGTTGGATACCACCAAAGACAAAGTCATTCTCCTGCCTCCACAGTGTAGATGGAGAGAACGAAATACGAAGAAAACCAGGACCGGTTGGAGATTCTGGGGGTTTACTTAGTCCTCATGGTTAAGGTTTGGCTCCAGCAGAGCAGGTGGTTTAAGGGGAGGCAGGGGTTGTTGGAATGAGGTGGGCTGGGGTGACTGTCAGCAAGGTTACATGGGCACTGGGACGTGTTGGTGTCAGGTGCTCTCTTGTGATAAGGCTGGTGGTACAAAAGAGGGGTGGGCTGGAGATACAGATTGGACCACCCGGGGTCCCGGGGCTCCCTCCAGCTTAACAGTGAAGGGCATTGAGGGCTGGGGACAAGAGGTCCATGTGAAGAATACGAAGGTCTGGTTTCTGGCCCTTTTTCTACCACTTATTAGGTGACCCTGGTTGGACAAGTCTTTTGACCTCCCTGAGCCTAGACTTTTCCATCTGTGACACGGGGTCAGCACTTCCTGCCCTGCTCAGCTCCTCCTGGAGGACTGTTGTGGGGCTCTGTGGGACAGAGGACCCAGGGGCCCTCCAAAAAAGCCCGCGAATGTCCGCTACAGTTGTTTTTATTATTTGCTGGGAACGAACCCTCCCGTGTGAGCGGATACTGGAGCCAGGCAGTGGTACGTGCTCCAGCCTTGGAGGAGTATTTTAGGAAATAATCAATACAAGATGCACTGGGCTTGAGCCACGATAAGAGTCATAAATGTTGACAGTCTGCTGCTTGATAAAATTAATAATGCTTGAGAGAAACATTGTAAAAACCTATGGGAGGGAAAGCAGAGTGTGTCTGAGGAGAGAGTCTAAGCCAGTGTGGAAACTGTCCTCCAAGGAAGGTCGGCCCCTCCTCCTTCTGGTGGGGAGGTTTACACGCACGTACGCACACGTACACACAGGCATACATGCACCACACACATATGCACTTGTGCACGTGGGCAACAAGCCCCAGCTTTGTTGGCTGCATCTCAGAAGAGACTGATGAATCAGGAAGGCTAGCATTAATTCCAACAACAGATAGTTGGAATTACCTTTGCAAGAAATGCCACCTGCCTCTGAAATTCTAAAATAAACCAGCGACGGTGTCCTTGCCCTGTGCCACTTCTCGCTGGTGTAGAAGAGCGTGCGTGTGTAGCTTTGGGGTTCGAGCTGCTGAGCACAGCAGGGGAGAAGCGGGCAACAAAGGAGGACCGGACCTCATGGTTTTTAACCAAAGCCCTGAGATGCTCTGTGCTTAGAAAGGAGAGGGAAGAATACTGATTTTCCTGTGTGCAGAGTGTTCCCAAATCTTCCAAATCCTCTGTCTGGGTAGATTGTCCAAGACGTCAAGATTGTCACCCGGACTTGCGCCAGCTGCTCGCTGTTGGTGGGAGCATCGGTGCAGAGACGCTGCAGGTCTGAGTCGCTATGTTGAACCGTGGTAGTGGTGAGGGGGCCCAGGGACAAACTTGGTTAAGGCCACGTGAGGCCAAAGGGGAGTCTGCCAGGGGCTGGCCTCCATGCACACGCAGTGGACTTCCTATCGTGTGCCAGTCTTTAACTACTCCGTCTGTGGCCAGAGACCAGACGACCCCATTAAAAAAGGATGAACAGATGCTCAGCACCATATATAAAAGAGATAAACAACAAGGTCCTACTGTACAGCACAGGGCACTTATTCAATATCTTGTAATAAACTGTAATGGAAAAGAATCTGAAAAGAAAAATAATACATATATATGTAAAACTGAATAACTTTGCTGTACACCTGAAACTAACATAATATTGTAACTCAACTATGCTACAATAAAAGTTTTTTAAAAGGGGATGAAAACATTGGCTACTGTTCAGTAGAGTGATGGAATTATTCTTAATTTAAAAATTGCTTTTGCTGTGTTGAATTTTTTATTGTAAAAGTAACATCTGTTTATTATTTAAAAAGATGTTAATTTAAACGGTCAGAAAAAACCGTAAGGAAATCTTGACATTGGGTCTGTCATGTTTTCAGGCAGAGAAAACAAAGAATTTTGCCAGTTGGAGCCTGGTCATAGGAGAAGTCCTCTCATAGCAGACATGGCCCCAGGGGTAAAGGTGAGAGACACTGGGCAGCCTGCCCTTCATGAACTGATGGTTTTTTTGTTTGTTTGTTTGTTTTTTGCAGTACGCGGGCCTCTCAACTGTTGTGGCCTCTCCCATTGCGGAGCACAGGCTCCGGACGGACGCGCAGGCTCAGCGGCCATGGCTCACGGGCCCAGCCGCTCCGCGGCGTGTGGGATCTTCCCGGACCGGGGCACGAACCCGTGTCCCCTGCATTGGCAGGCGGACTCTCAACCACTGCGCCACCAGGGAAGCCCAGTTGTGCCCATTTTCAACTGCATACAGCCCCTACCCTATCCCTGTCCTTCGGCAACCACTAATCTATTCTCCATCTGTATGGTTTTGCCATTTCTAGAGCGGTATATAAATGGAAGTTCATTAATTTTTGCCTACAGAAAGATACTCCTTTGGGTGAATGTGCCACAGCACTTGGAATTCTTAGACGTCTCCATTTTTGCTGATCAAATGGGTATAAAATGGCATCGCACTGTGGGCTTGCTTTGCATGTACCAGCTCACCGAGGATGGTAAACAGAATAGCTGGAAAGGTGTGACTGCCGTGGCGCCTTCCTGTGCCCTGAGCCTTCCAGCAGGCATGCAGCCCTGCATGTGCCCTCTTCTCCCTCCCTGGACACCACTGCATCACCAGATCAGTCCCCACATGTAAATATCCAGTCCTGATGTCCCCAAAGGGGAGAAATTATAATTAGAACATGATGAATGAATGATCAGATAAGAAAGCAGGTCAATCATTGATGAGTCCAAGATGGAAACTCTTTCTGTTCTGCAATGTAGACATTTAAAAATGGGTAGGAATTAAAAACGAAGAAATCTGTGAGCACCAGCTGGGGTGAGGGCACCCACCATTAGGTCCTTTGGGGAAAACTGGCTTCCCTATGATTTCATCCAGGCAGGGTCTCTTCTCTCTGGGATGGGTTGGCTGTGGCTTCCAGAGAGAAGAAAGTCAGCTGAGATGCAGCAGATAGATCCTCCTCTCAGAAATCCTAGAGGGTCCTGGTTCAGACTCATGATCCTCCGTTGGTGCTTTTACCATATGCCCACACCTGCCTTCTGTTTAGCAAGCCTCTGGTGGGCCATGACCATGGGGAAGTCTTCATAGGGTGTTGCAGCTCTCTGGGTGGGGAGCCCTCTCCTCTGCACCTCCAGGATCTTGCACTGGGCCTGGTGCACAGAGTTGCATAGGGAATGTTTGAGCAAATGAGGGAGGGGCAGCTTGTAGTTTCAAGCAGGACTTAAGAAACATTTCAACCCATTGCAATATGTGGACCTTATTTAGATCCTGGTTCAAACAACAGACTGTAAAGAAAAACTAGACGTCAGTTGGGGAAATTTGAAATTGGATATTTGGCAGTATTAAAGAATTATTATTATATTTGAGGTGGAATAATGGTTGTAGGGTCATGCTTTTACAAAGACTCTTTAGGGCTTCCCTGGTGGTGCAGTGGTTAAGAATCCACCTGCCAATGCAGGGGACACGGGTTCAAGCCCTGGTCCGGGAAGATCCCACATGCCACAGAGCAACTAAGCCCGTGAGTCACAACTACTGAGCCTGGGTGCCACAACTACTGAAGCTTGCATGCCTAGAGCACGTGCTCTGCAACAAGAGAAGCCACTGCAATGAGAAGCCCGCGCACCGCAACGAAGAGTAGCCCCCGCTCTCCGCAAACAGGAAGCCTGCGCACAGCAACAAAGACCCAAAGCAGCAATAAATAAATAAATAAATAAAATAAATTTTTTTTAAAAAAAGAGTCTTTATTTTTTACAGATGCATAGGAAATACTACTTAGGGATGAAATGACAGGATGTCTGGGATAAACTTCGAGATCACCTGGGGTATAGAATGGGAGAGTGAATTGGGGGAAAGATGAATAAAATGGATCATGAGCTGGGCATCACTGAGTTCATGATACTCTTCTATTTTGAAATTTTCCACAATAAAAAGCTTTTTAAGAAAGTTTTATTCCTGAGTATCCTAGAAGGAAATTTGAATAGATTCAAAGGACTGGATCTTTAAAAATGCTTCTCTGATCACATCAATCTCAGCTGAAAACCCCTTCCTGTTAGCTTTAGAGAAACCCTCCAACCCTTGACATGTCTCACAGGTTCTCATGTGGTATGGCCCTACACTCACGTCTCCACGTAGTCCTTCTGTGCCACGTCCTTCTGTGCCACGTAGTCCTACCCGGGAGATCTGCTGTCTTGGCCTTCTTTCGGTCCCTTGTTTCCATATTTGGACCACTCATGCTATCATCCTAGAACGATCTTTTCCCCTCCTTCACCTGCCTGACACTTGCTCATTCTTCAAGTCCCAGTTCAAGTGTCCTTACTTCAGGTAAACCTCCCTCAAGCCTGCAGTTTAAATCTCACGTACATGTTGTCATCTGTCTTTGTGCCTTACCATATTCTGTCATGGCACGTACCCATTTTTTTTTTTTTTATGATCACGTTTTTTTTTGGAGGGGTTTAAGATTAATTTTTATTGGAGTACAGTTGCTTTACAATGTTGTGTTAGTTTCTGTTGCACAGCAAAATGCAAGGATTCTGCAGTATATGCAAATCAATCAATGTGATACACAATTAACAAACTGAAGAATAAAAACCATATGATCATTTCAGTAGAGGCAGAAAAAGCTTTCAGCAAAATTCAACACCCATTTATGGTAAACACTCTCCAGAAAGTGGGCATAGAGGGAACCTACCTCGACATAATAAAGGCCATTCATATATGACAAACCCACAGCAAACATTATTCTCAATGGTGAAAAACTGAAAGCATTTGCTCTAAGATCAGGAACAAGACAAGGGTGTCCACTCTCGCTGCTGTTGTTTAACATAGTTTTGGAAGTCATAGGCACGGCAGTCAGAGAAGAAAAAGAAATAAAAGGAATCGAATTGGAAAAGAAGAAGTAAAACTGTCACTGTTTGCAGATGACATGATACTATACGTAGGGAATCCTAAAGATGCCACCATAAAGCTACTAGAGCTAATTAATGAATTTAGTAAAGTTGCAGGGTACAAAATTAATAAACAGAAATCTCTTGCACTCCTATACACTAAAAATGAAAGGTCAGAAAGAGAACTTAAGGAAACAATCCCATTTACCATTGCAACAAAAAGAATAAAATACCTAGGAATAAACCTACCTAAGGAGGCAAAAGACCTGTATGCAGAAAACTATAAGACACTGATGAAAGAAATCAAAGACGACACAAACAGATGGAGAGATATACCATGTTCTTGTATTGGAAGAATCAATGTTGTGAAAACAACTATACTACCCAAAGCAATCTACATATTCAGTGCAATCCCTATCAAATTAACAATGGCATTTTTCACAGAACTAGAACAAAAAATTTTACAATTTGTATGGAAACACAAAAGACCCCGAATAGCCAAAGCAATCTTGAGAAAGAAAAATGGAGCTGGAGGAATCAGCCTCCCTGACTTCAGACTATACTACAAAGCTACAGTGTTCAAGACAGTATGGTACTGGCACAAAAACAGAAATATAGATCAATGGAACAGTATAGAAAGCCCAGAGATAAACCCACGCACCTGTGGTCACCTAATCTGTGACAAAAGGAGCCCAGAATATACAATGGGGCAAAGACAGCCTCTTCAATAAGTGGTGCTGGGAAAACTGGACAAGTACATGTAAAAGAATGAAATTAGAACACTCCTTAACACCATACACAAAAATAAACTCAAAATGGATTAAAGTCCTAAATGTAAGGCCAGACACTATAAAATTCTTAGAGGAAAACATAGGCAGCACACTCTCTGATGTAAATCGCAGCAAGATCTTTTTGTTTTAAATTAATTTATTTTTGGCTGCACTGGGTCCTCGTTGCTGTGCGTGGGCTTTCTTTAGTTGCAGCAAGCGGGGGCTACTCTTTGTTGCGGTGTGCGGGCTTCTCATTGCAGTGGCTTTTCTTGTTGTGGAGCATGGGCTCTAGGCACGTGGACTTCAGTAGTTGTGGAACGCAGGCTCAGTAGTTGTGGTGCGCCGGCTCTAGAGTGCATGCTCAGTAGTTGTGGTGCACGGGCTTAGTTGCTTCACGGCATGTGGGACCTTCCCGGACCAGGGCTTGAACCTGTGTCCCCTTCATCGGCAGGCGGATTCTTAACCACTGCACCACCAGGGAAGTCCGCAAGATCTTTTTTGACCCACCTCCTTATGAAAATAAAAACCAAAATAAACAAATGGGACCTAATGAAACTTAAAAGCTTTTGCACAGGAAAGGAAATCATAAACAAGATGAAAAGACAACCCTCAGAACGGGAGAAAATATTTGCAAATGAAGCAACTGACAAAAGATTAATCTCTAAAATATACAAGCAGCTTATGCAGCTCAATATAAAAAAAAAAACCCAATCAAAAAATGGTCAGAAGACCTAAATAGACATTTCTGCAAAGAAGACTTACAGATGGCCAACAACACATAAAAAGATGCTCAACATCACTAATTATTAGAGAAATGCAAATCAAAACTACAATGAGGTATCACCTCACACGGGTCAGAATGGGCATCATCAAAAAATCTACAAACAATAAATGCTGGAGAGGGTGTGGAGAAAAGGGAACCTTCTTACACTGTGGGTGGGAATGTAAATTGATACAGCTGCTATGGAAAACAGTGTGGAGGTTCCTTAAAAAACTATAAGTAGAGATACCGTATGATACAGCAATCCCACTACTGGGCATATATCCAGAGAAAACTGTAATTCAAAAAGACACATGCACCCCAATGTTCATAGCAGCACTATTTACAATAGCCAGGACATGGAAGCAGCCTAATGTCCATCAACAGAGGGATGGATGAAGAAGATATGGTACATATGTACAGTGTACCCATTTTGGATTGATGTATTTATTCACAGGTCTGTTGTTTGTCTCTTAGCACCACTAGAGGGCAAACTCCTTGAAGACTGTCTCTGTCTACAGTCTTGGTATGTAGGAGGTGTCAGTACATGAATATTAAATGAATGCATAAAATCAAAACTGTATGGCAGTTACGGAAAAGGTTGAATTTAGAATTACCATATGATCCAGGAGTTCCACTCCTAGGTATATACCCCAAAGAATTAAAACAGGGACTCAAACAGATACCTGTATACCAATGTTCGTGGCAGCATTATTCACAGTAGCTGATAGGTGGAAAGAAACAAGTGTCCGTCAACAAATGAATGGATAAACAAAATATTGTATATACAAGTGTCTGTCAGCAAATGGATGGATAAACAAAATATTGGAGGTACCATGCAATATTATTCAGCCATAAAAAGGCATGAAGTTCTGGTAGATGTTACAACACGAGTCTTGAAAACATGATGCTAAGTGAAATAAGCCAGACCCATAAGGACAAATACTGTATGAGTCCACCTATGTGAAATTTTGAGAATAGGCAAATATATAGAGATAGAAAGTAAATTACAGGTTCCCAGAGGCTGGGGGAAGAGGAGAATTGGGGCAGTTATTGGCTAATGGGCACAGTTTGTTGGGGGGTGATGAAAAAGTTTTATAAGTAGTGGTGATGGTTGCACAACACTGTTAATGTAGTTCATACCACTGAACTGTACGTGTAACAATGGCTAAAAATGGCAAACTTTATGTTATAGGTATTGTATCACAATAAAAAAATCTTGGAACATTTAACAAAAATGATGATTCACCCCTTTTGCTTTCCCACACATCATTCATTGCAGGGGAATTTTTTTCTTGTGCTTGGACACGCTAGACAGTTAGCGGAACGTGTAGGTTGTGCCTCTGGTCCAGCCCAGGAGGCCGTGGCTGCCTTTCCTGTTGGTGCTGGAGGGAGACTTCCAGGGAGGGGACGCAGTGCCTCGGGAGCAGGTTGGTGAGCCCTGGGTTGGTCACGACTTCCCCGGATCTCGGTGCCAGCCCAAGGCCCCTGCTGGCCTTCCTGGTCACCTGAGCCAGCCATCAACCTGAGCATCAATTCTTCAGCGTCATCTTCACCCCGCAGGCCGGAGCGCCTTCTCTCACCCGCCGGGTCCATGTCATCCAGAGGCTCCAGGCATCCCTAAGTGCTTTGGACAAACACAGTTGAACTCATGCAGCCAAGTGCCGGCTGAGCCAGGGGCTGCTTGGAGAGTGACTCACAGTGAGGGGGTGGGAAAAGGACAGAGGTGCCAGGGAGACTCTCTCTCCTGAGGGCTTTGAATCCCCACTCTAGCTTGGGAGGCGGCCCAAGGTCTCCCGCCAAGCAGGCTGATGCAATCTGGACAGACTCTACAGCCCAGAGAAACATGACCTGCTTCCTTTTCTTCTTCCCCATGACGGCTAGCTTTTTGCCTTATATGAATCATCTCATTCTGTCTTAGTTTGCTTGGGCTGCCATGATAAAGTGCTACAGATCTGCTGGTTTCAACAACAGAAATGAGTTTTCTCACAGTTCTGGAGGCTGGGAAGTCCAAGATCTAGCTGTCAGCTGGTTCAGTTCCTGGTGAGGGTCCTCTTTCTGGCTTGTAGTCTGACTCACCGTGGCGGCCACTTGCTGGGCACCTTTGGTCTGCCTGCCGGGCTGGGCTCCATGCCCCTTACAGGAGGCACCTGCTCAAAGTGTACATTGGGCCAAGGAGTCGTCTGCTTAGAGCCCTCCAGGGGCTCCCCCATTTGGTCAGATTCCCTGCTCTTTGGAGCATGTGGCTTTGGCAACACACTGGTCAGCACGTGGGGGAAGAGGCCCACGTTTGGACAGACTGTGGAAGTCAGGGTCCCGCAGGCACTGCCTCGGTTAACTGCTGTAGTTTTCCACAAACCTGTGGGTTTCACTCACCCAGCCCGATGCTCCTACTAATAGCATTTAGTGAATGGAGTCTTTCAAAAGGTGGCTGAAACACTCATTGTTTTCCCCTTTCCAAAGAGAAGGAAAATAATGTAAAACCTAGGAAAACTATACTGTAAAGAACGTTTTAGCCACCAGCCAAAGAGATTTAAGGCTGGAAAATTCAACCTGTTTTAGTTTTAGAAAAATATTTTTCTTTAACTTGATTTCCAAGAGGGTTTAGGGGAAAAAAAAATTTACCATCTGGATGGATTCCATTTTCCTGGGTTGGAATTAGTAATGCAATTTGCAGGGTCGGCAGTGATTCCGAAGAGCAGGGCTCTGAGAAATCAGGGCGTTAAGCATCTTCCGAGGATACTTGGCGATTCTCCAAATGAAAAGCGCCTCCTGTGTGAGATGTGATTAGTGAAATTCGTCCATTGTAATGTCAAAGCGTTTCACCTGGTCAAGTGGTTCAGTCTGAGTTGATGGGGTGGCCTTTCCGGAAGTTAGCGTCAGGCTGATCACACACGTGTAGTGCAGGGACTGGTCCTCACCAGAGGCTGATGACAGTTGTCAGACAGCAGCATGTGAAGATGCCATTTCTGCCACTTCCCTGCAAGGTCTTTCTTGGGGGTCACTGTGTCCACTGGGGCTCATGCCATTGCATGATCCCAGAAAAAAGGCACCTATTGGCTGCTATACTCGCAGAGTTCAGGGTGTAGCTGGCTTCAGGGGTGGGTGTGTGGGACCTGGTCTCTCTCATCTCTCGGTTTCACCTCACCTCCATCCCCACATGTTGGCTTCCTTCACCAGCTCTCGTGATGGGAAGAGGAGCCCTGGCCTCCATTCTTCCAGGTTCCACTGCTTCCCAAAAGAGTTTCTCTTCACCAGTAGCTGACTTGTGTGTCCCAGTGGCAGCTCTGATCGGACCCATCCAGATCACGGGTCCAACCCGAAGCATCCCCGTTGGCCATGATGTTATGCAGATCAGCCAGTCCTGGGTCCTGGGTCCCAGGCTCATCCTAAAGCTGGGCTGGAGGTTGACATTAGCCACCAACCACTTGGACTGATTCTGGGAGAAGAGGGCTCCCCAGAGGGAAACTGGGGCTGTGCTTCTAGGAGTGGGGACATGCCGACCGGCAGACACAGCAAATGTCTGTACACCTGAGCTCTTCCCACTTTG